TTGTGGGGACAAGCGGAGTTCCTCGTCCGAGCAAAATCAGCCAACCCACACGCAGGTAGGAGCAGACATTACCTTATTAAGATAAAATACAATAAAATGTGTGGTTGTGTGTGTGGGGGGGGGTTAAGCTGTTGGACAAACAAAATAAGATATTTAATTTTGTCACCTACTTCCTATGATTCCTAGATATTATCGCCATCAATCATTTGTTTCAAGAAAAAAAGTTATATACAAAAAATACTAACAGATTTTTTTAAAGATATCCAGAGAAAACAAAATTACTTATTAATCCCATCCTCAGAATAAATGAATCCCATCCTCACACTAAATAAATCAGCATCTTGTGTTAAATTGGGTCACACAAAGGCATTTAAAGTGCTTCTCCTTCGAGAGGCGCCATAGTTCCACAGCCCCGACTCAGTGAGCTGGACAAAGAGAGAGACGACGCTAATCTTCATGTAATTTAAACAAGAAATTATGAAAATGATACAAAACAACCTGATAAAAGAACCTACAGTAGTGATAGCAAAGAAGAATATATATTTGTGGTGTAATGGAGTCAAAACAAAAGTGTATGATAAGGATAAGAGAGCGTGATAGAGAATGAGAAGCCAGCTTAGATGTGAGTATTTGTATGTGATATGTCGGTACATTAAATATGAAGCTACAACTAGATGCTGGTTAGCTTAGCTTAGCATAAAGACTTTGAAATAGAATGTAGAACCCAGCCTGGCTCCAGCACTGAGGTGACAGTGAGTACGGGTCAGGAAACCTCACCATCATTTTCTTCTGCTCCAAAAATAATTGGAGAAAGCGTCCTGAACTTTCTGATGTGAACTGACAGCCGACTACTGCTAGCTCACTTTCTACTAGTTGGGCTCCACCCACAAAACACATCAAACACCAAAATGTTCTGTCATCATTAATTAAAAAAAGGTTTTTAACCGTCTGTTTCTTTCCGCCTGCAGTTTGCTGACTCCTCCAAAGAGCCTGGCTGCCCTTAGTGCCCTGAGGGACGGCAGCTGGAAAGACGGCTGCTACTGAACCCAGAAAAACAAACACGATTCAAGAGGTGAACAGGGTAATGCTTCATTGGTCCCAAATGATTTTACATTTTTAGTCGTCAGGAGGGGCCAAAGTCTTGGGTTGAGATCCAAGATAGAGTGACTGTTAACATTTGTAAAAGGCGTACTCTAAATGACAAGAGTAAAGACTGAGGACAGAAGGGGTCCAGCAGGCTGGATCTGTACTCAACACCTGCAGAAACACAGACTGACACTTTGAAAACAACCTGGCAATATGCTGATAATCAGCTGTTAAATGTGAACTGGATCTTCTTTGATATGTTGTTTTTGATTGGTTGTTGTTGCTAGTTAAGGCTTTCATTCAACAGAATGAAAATTTCTCTCCAGTTAAAAAGGTAAGGGGGAAAAAAGCTTTTGTACATGCTTTTCATGATTTCCTATGACGAATTCTGCAATCATTTTTTGGGTCAGACTGTTGCGTCAGATATGATGTTGAACCAGGAGTTTTGTTACATCCTGTGCCTCTTTGAAAGTCGTGTAATTCATGTCACTTATATTTATTGGCTGGACCTCACAGCACTTTTTATCAGAATTATGTTTAACACTTAAAAATACATGATCTGATTTGTTTCTCAAGTACGATATGATGTTTGTTAAAGTGAGTGTACACACATTATCTTTTGGCTATCTTCTTTTCAATATTGTTTACATAAAAGCTAATATTTTAAATGTTCTCTGATAAACATAACCGCTGCAATGATATTGCACATGATGCTTTTTAAGGATGGCAAGAATCTAAAGAGGAGGTGAATTTTTTAATGTGAATAAAAGCCTTTCAAAATATGTGTGTTTTTGCTGGTCGTCTTTTCATAGTTCACTTTGTGGTAAACCACTGCAGACAGCACTGGTAAACTGACATGTTGACATATAATCCTACTTTTCAAGAAGTTTAAATAAGTCTCAGAGCTCCCCAAAACATGTCTGTGAAGTTTCTTGTTATAAATCCACTCTGATCCTGTATTTTCACATGCCTATAAACCCCTCTATTTCAGCCCTGTTCAGAACAGGCTGTTTCTGTGTCTATACCTTTAAATGCAAATGAGCTGTCTGACCACGCCCCCTCTCTGGAAGGGCTTGGTTGGCTCTGGCTTTCTTGCACCATGGCCGATTGTTAACGCTGGAAAGGCTCACTCAGAGGGCAGAACAAACACCAAGCTGTGGGAGTGTCACCCAACTGGGGGAGGGGTTACTGCCCTTTGTGATGTCATGAAGGGAAAATCTCCAAACGCCCTGTTTGAGCACACATTTCCTAAAAAGTTGAGCAGGCAAAAGACAGAGAGGATGGACTTTTCTCATAATTAAGGGGATTGTAGACGGACTAGGGACACATATTAATGTTAGAAAAACATTGTAAAGTGTATTTTGCATCATATGTGACTTTTACAGTTTTTAGTCAGTAGGTAACATTTTTGTTTATTTAGAGGGATCCTTTTGAATTGATTTCAAGATACATGTGCCCTAATAGGCTAATGGTGACTCAAAACAACATTTGAGTCACCAAATTCTCTTCCTAACCTTTAAGCCATGATATTAAATGTGAAAGTAAATTTGGATATATATATATTTTTTAAATCCTAGGCCATCTTCTCCTGGTCCAAACAATTAAGGTGATTGCTGCCTAAAGGTGGATTACATTGAAAAATAGCTTTCTCTCTGTGCATGTACTCCCTTGTAAATACAATTGAAGAGAAAAAGCCACCAAACAACATTTATCACCAAACACACTCTGCAAATGTACCATTCAATGCAAACAAGGTCTTTTAAACAATGAGCCATATTGCATTCTCTAATGATACAATGGTAAAGAATTCACTCTTATTTAAGCACATTTGTTTACCTGGTAGCTGTGTGGGTGCTTTAAACTGATGACTGATACCTCCAGAGGGGACCCTGGTGCTATATTGACTAATGTTTAACAGGTTAGTGTGTTTATGATGAGTCGTCCCAGTAACACTGAAACCCTGTTCATTTGTGTACGATTGAATCCACTGAGTAGGTGAATATAATCTCTGTTGGTAAGTACGTTAATTATATCACTTATTTATCTGTGTGGAGAAGTTTTTGTAAACAAGATCTTTGTTGAATTAGGTTAATGAAGACAAGTGAGTAGAGTGTGGCTTTAACTGGTGATCGTCTGGAATTTGACATAATGCCAAACAAAGCTCAGGAGGTAAACCGTTTCCATTTTCACTCTCATATGTCTGAAATCAAGTAAGAAATTCACAGACAACTTTATGTTTTTAAACTGTTTAAAATTACTAACAGTTATTTGCATATCATGTTACTGTTTTTTGCAGGATGCTGTAATTAACCTGAAGACTTTGCAGGAGATTTCCCTGCAGCTTGGTTTTGAGTGGACAGTTTTGGGGTATGAACTTGGCTTCAGCAGAACTGAGATAGCACGTTTCCACGCAAAGTCTACAGAGAAAACTGTCCAGGCCCGGACCATGTTAGAAAACTGGTACATTGTTTGTGTGTTTCCTTTTTTTTGTTTTTTAAATAACACTATACGTATGGATTGAGGTTTTAATTATTGTTTACAAATGGATCATCATGAATGTATTTGTCTCATCAATTGCTCAGAAATTTACCCTTCAAGCTTACAAAAGTTGGGCATTTCAAACCATAAAGAATGCAAATGTTTGTTCTCAATTTGAAAGTTTGAGTTGTTATTTGGATTTCCCTTTGGTCTAACAGTGTGGGCTTTGGGCCATATATACACCCTGCCTCACTTTGATAATCTTCAATGCACTTCATCTATCACTGACCCTCTCCAGTTTCTTTTCACAGTGTAAAATGTTTCTCAGATTGACATCTTTACTCACAGGTATGAGAGGTCATGGGACAAGCCCAATAAGACTAAGGTTCTCCAGAATGGGCTGGAGCGAGCAGGCAGACGGGACCTGGCCGAGAGGCTGCGCTGCCTCCACTGGGGACACCAGAAGCTGAGCCCGAGGGTGGAGCTGCCCTCTGCCTTTCCGTTTATAATCACAGTCCACAAGACCATCCACAACCAAGACGCACTGCGCAGGATTAACGAACTTAACCGTAGATAGACTTAAACCTGGGTAAAAATTCACATTGTTGTGGCTATCACCATGATACCTGAGGCATGTAGTTAACTGAACAAACAATTGTTAAACTTAAGCCATGCATGTAATTATGCAAACTGTAAAATGCAGCTCATCTTGTAAAAAAAGCTTTTCAATAAAGATTAAAAAACAAAAATATTTTTTCTAACTGTCTTGAATTTATTTGATTGTATGAAATATAAGTAATTTTGCCAATGGTAAGCAAACTGACAGCTAGGCAAAAATAAGGAATTATCAAAAGTACTTTGAATAAAAAACTAAACACTTTAAGAACTTTTTCTATTTAACAAATACATAATGTGTTCATGATAGGTGATATCACAAGTATTTTATAAACTTTGGGGTTTTAATAAGTGCTATAAGAAACATGAAAACAATTATTAACAATAGTAGTTTATTATTTTTATTTTTATCATTTTTTAAATTTTATTATTATTTTTAAATGTTATTATTATCATCATCATTAATGGCCTTAAAAGTGCCAACAAATCCTTGTCAACCAAACGTAATTTGACCCAGTTACACTAACCAATCACAGGGAGGGATTTCCAAGCAAGAATGATTGAGCGAGAAATGAACCAAAGCGAAAGCCAGGCAAAAGTGCCTTCACAATAAGAAAATACTATTGTCATATGTCAGATTAATTGGATTTATTTAGGTATTTTTAAACTGATAGATGTGAGTACTGACATAAAAAACGATTTGACAATTAATTAAGACGAAAATGGAATGATAAAAACCAAATCATGCGCCGCTTCGCATTGTACGGAACTTTATTTTGGTAATTTCCTTACCGGAAAAGGTACTTCTAACCCCGGTCAACTGACACTGTTATTTTAGCGGAGCCCTACCTGCCTGATACACTCAAAACATATGACAGCTTTCACCTGGAAATAATAGAAAATTGACAATACAGTAACTGCGAGTCTTGAGGCGTGATTTATCGAGTATGTCTTATTCAAACACGTTAATAATATCGCTTGGAGACCGAGAACTGCTGGCTTCAATGCACACAGGCGACGGTGTCTCTGTCTGAAAGGCTGGTAATGTATTTTCCACCGCACACGTTTGCTTTCCTTTTGTAAACGGTGTCAGCATCATCACACAGACCGACAATGAAAACTGCATGACAAAAACAAAAATCTGGAACAACTCCCCCCAAAAAAAAAAAGCCCTCTCCCTGGAGTTGCAGCAATGGCTTCAGTTCTGAGTTGCTTCAGTGGTCCCGAGGTGTTGGAGGACGTGGATCACGCCCTGGGCTTAATGAAGGAGTTAAAGTTGATGTATGACTGCCGGCTGCTGGGGGACATTACTATCGGAGTTGAATGCGAAGCTGAGCATGCTGGAGAGCCAACCAGAGGTGACATTGAGCAACTTTTCTTCTGCAGCCGCAACGTCCTCGCAGCTGCCAGCCCTTACTTCAAAAGCATGTTCACCGGGGGGTTGAACGAGAGCATGCAGGAGAGAGTGGTGATCCGGGGGGTGGACGCTGAATCCATGGCTGTCATCATCGACTACTGCTATACAGGCAGTGTGACCATCACGGAGAGCAACGTGCAGAAACTCTACTCAGCTGCCAACATGCTCCAGCTGGAGTACATCGGGAAAGCATGCTCCAGTTTCATGACGAGGAGGCTTGACCTGTCCAACTGTGTTGGGATACTGAAGTTTGCAGACACGTATGACAACCCCTGGTTTAAAGGAGAATGCAAAGAATTTCATAGCCAGGAACTTCAGCCAGGTGTGTAACGGAGGAGATCTTTGCGAACTGGATTTGGTGCAGTTAAAGGAGCTGCTGTCTTTAAACATTCTGGATGTTGACTGCGAGAGAAAGGTGTGCTCGGCTGCTCTGCAATGGATAGAGGCGAACGCGCCGCAGAAAAGGGAGGATGCTTTGCAGGCGCTGAAGTGTGTCCGCTGGAACCTGTTCACCGAGAAGGACAAGTGCTACCTGGAGGGCCTCGTGGTGAGACCTTTAATCGAGAAATACCTCGCCTCGTTCTTCGACAGGTCGACCGAGGACAGCTGCGGTGCGAGTGTGGAGGTGCCAAAGCACAGAATAGGCGTGAGTGCGAAAGAAATGATCCTCTTCTTCGGCCTGCCAAATGACAACATCATGTGCTGCGATCCGTACTCGGAGGATTTGTATTTCATGGCTCCCCCTTTAGAGGATCTAAGCAGTCAGGATTACAAACGCTCCACCATGGAGTCTTTAATCGCCTGTGCCACACCTGAAAACAACTTGTACCTTGCCTCCCACCTCTCGAAACATTTCTGGCTGTACAACCCTCTGCTGAACAGCTGGCAGGAGCTGGCAGAGAGGCCACTGGGGCGGATCCACTCGGGGATGGGCTACCTTAATGGTCATGTGTACCTTCTGGGTGGAAGAAATCCGGTGACAGATGCCCGGCTGAAGGAAGTGGAGTGTTACAGCGTGCAGAGGAATCAGTGGACGTTTGTGGCTCCTCTGCCTCATTCTCTGGGTAAAATGCAGGTGGTGGCTCTGAACGATCACCTGTACGTGGTGAACAAAAGGAGAATGCTTTGCTACGATCCCAGGAGGAACCGCTGGCGTCACTGTGGCTCGCTGAGGAGGGACAAGCTTCACAAGGCGTGCGTCTTTCAGGACCAAATCGTGTGCGTGTGCGACATTCCCGTGGTGAAAGCCTACAGTCCCGCCAGAGGAGAGTGGAAGAGGCTGGGCGACATTCCCATCGACAGCCGGGCCTTGAATTACCAGGTGATCCAGCACAACAGCAAGCTGCTCCTCCTCACTCAGACTCTCCTGCAGCACAACAAAAACCGGGTCCTCATCCACGAATACGACCAAGCTCGAGACACGTGGAAGAGCGTCATGGCAGTGTACGTGTCCACCCTGGGGCCGGTGTGCGTTTCGACACGCGTGTACCCAGCATGCCTCGGCTCGGCACACAGCTTCTCCACAGAGGAGGACGACGACAGCGGCTCCAGTGCAGACTGGGACTTTGATGGGTTGACGGACCCGGACTCGGACTCTGGCAGCTCGAGCTCTTTCTCAGATGAGAACTGGTAGTAAACTATGTCAACGAGAGAGTTATTGATACTTGAATTGCATTTTACAGGGTTCAGTCTTAACAGGAAAGTTTCAATTTTGCCCCTTTTTTTCTTTTTTCCACCAGTTTAGCCAATTATTGAGTACAGAAAGAAATAAGAAATTAAACCTTTTTTTCTGCAGAATCAACGAAAATAGAAGGGCTTTGTTTTATATATTTACTATTTATACAGCATGAAGTGCAGTATGATGTCTAAAAGAGTCTTGTTTACACGATAATTCAAGAAAACTGATCAGCATGGCTTCCCTCATTATTAAGCACATTGATAAGGGCAGCTAAATGTAGGTTACTCCAAAGATGTAGCACGTCCTTTAAATGGAGGGTGAAAGTCTGGATCCTACACTCCCCCATGATGCAGGGATTTAGCAAACTGAGGATTTGAATGTTACAGGACTAGACAAAGGATGCTTTTTCATCAAGATTACTTCCGCTTCCTCAAGTCTATAGAATGTACAGGATTATTTAATTGCAGCATGTTCTGGCCCTGTATAAAGCAGACGTTTGCTGTGTGTATCTCTGTTTAACAGACATCCTTACTCACTTAAGCGACTCTTACAAATGACTCTGATCAGTTCATAAAATTATGTTTTAAAAGGAATATTACATGGAAAGTATGATCATAGTAATAAACAGCCATGTTAACCTGCAAATGCGTTAAATTCTGATGAAAAGCTCAAACTTTTCTAAAGCTATAAGAGCTTTAATGCCCCTCTATATATTTATCAATGAAAGAAACTTGAAGGTTTTGTAATAGTTCCTGATTACCCGGTTCTGTTGACATTTGTGCCACTCTGTTTGACGGCTGCTAAAGCGATGTAGCATGATGTCATGAATGACTGAAGTCGACTTCTTGTGAAGGATTACTCATCGAGCAGCGCTTGCTCGTCCGTTCTCGTGTCTTCTCCTCAAATCCCCCTCTTTCACATCCTCGCTAAGGATGCAATGAAGAGTTACTCGTTAGATAAAGGAGGAGGCTTATTGACATGTGGAAAAGCTCCCATTTTCACTGCAGAGATACTTAAACTTGCCAAACACAGGTGTTACCAATAAGGTGATTAATTGCTGGAACTAAGCCATCGTTAATGTACTTACTGTCACCTGTGCTCTTCCTGCCATGACTCGTCAAAAATGTGCTGAGAAAACTGAATGCTCTGATGCTACTAACACCATCCTGCTACTTTTTCTTTTGAGGGTAAAACACAAAAAAAAAAGGTTTGGGAACCACTGCAATAACGCAACTTCATTTACTCTTTTGTTAGACTCATCCTGCTTGGCTAACATCCTCATTGGTCCCTCTCCTTTTTTTTTTTTTTTTTTTTTTTTTACAAGGTGGTCTGCCTGATTTGTACTCTCCAAACTGAAGCCAAGTTACCCAAGAGGGGTAGTTAGCAGTTCTGTCATGATCAGTGAATCTATGTTTTCATGATTGTTAAATGAAAGAACACCCAGAACTGTTGAAGAATACTCATTACCACGCCCTCGATCTCAGAGAAATGCCTTCAACCCAAAGACTTGAAATATACATCTGTAAGTGACAAAGACAAGCGAGAAGCAGAAACCAGTGATTTTCTTACATTTTTGCTTTAAAAAAATGACAAAATGTGTATTAATTATCAAAATACCTGGCGGTTCATTTTTCTGTTAATCCATGTATTGTCTAATCTCGCTCAAAATAACTTCTAGGGCCCGACCGGTATTGGATTTTTTCGGTCCGATAACGATACGGATTGTAGGGAGAGAAAAAAATCTGATATCAATATATTGACCGATATCTTCTACAATCTTTATGGATGGCTAGATAGATGGATGGATATGAATATACACACATTTATTGTGTTGATCCCTCCTATACTGTTATGAAATACTTTTAAAAAGATTTATAATGGAAGACTAGCTTTTTTTTTTACAGAAGCCTTTATAGGCAAGAATAACAAGAGTGCACTGACTTAAATTGAATAAACCTGGTTACATCGGCATATCAGAGATCAAATTAGCCGATCCCGATAGTCTCATAATGTGCTCATATCGGCTGATTTATCGGTCGGGTTCTAAATACTTCAGAAAAGTTTTCAGACTTGACAGCTGCCTTCAGAGCTAAAAAAGTTACCATATGAAAGACTGTAGAAGCATCCCCTGTTTACTAGAAAGAAAGGGGAAAAAACTTAGAAGAACCCTTTATAATTGATGCATGTGTGGTTAAATATCGCCTGTTTGTGCTAATACCATTTAAATTATCTTGAATTAATGAGCTAATGATTGGTGTGAAATCATCTTGGGACGTCAGAGTTCTTCCAGATTATGACTTGAAACACGTGTGGTCAGTCACAGGGCTTTAAAAATGTGCTGTCCCTTTTTTTTTATTTGCATTTGTTGATGCATATAAAGACGTCACACACTGTCGTGATGTCAGAAATGTTATAATAGAAAGAAGCCAATGCACTTGTATGCTGACTCAGGTTAAGGTTTAAAAAAAAAAAAAAGCCTGTGTGCCATATTTGACTTGATGTAGTAAAACTAGATGGTTTTTTGATGATTGATGATGAATTTGATTGCGTTTGTTTAAATGTATAAAGTGTTGTCTTGTATTTTATTTTATTGTGTCAGTTGGAGGACAGTTTGTCAGCCTATAATGTGATTAATCTTCCACCATCCCATACTCTCAGCTACCAGTTTATCAGCGAAATATTTCAAACACCTCTCACTTTTTGATGCAACACTACAAAGTGCTGACTCTAAATGACCACTATGGGTTGAACATGTCTTTAAATCAACCTTCAAATGTGATATTTATTTCAGGGCTAAATTGTAAAACAGGATCAGTAAGAGTATTTGTACCAAATAAACTGGTAAATGAGTTTTATCTTCCGTGTTGTTTTACTGTATGATGGATGATTAAAGTGTTAAATTATTTGACTGTGTGTATGTGTTGCTGATTGGTTTGGTTTATAAAGCTGTTATGTGTCAAATAAACATCAGTGTCTGCTGCAGAGAAGCAACTGCAGTGTATTTTTTCTTCATCCAAAACTTAATTCAACACAAACACAGTACAGAGCACAAGAAGGTAAGAGAATCTGTGTACAACTTGTTTATACTACTCTCTATGTTTTATTTATTTTATTTTAAATACTCTCACTCTTACTTTTCAGATTGCATTTGAATGGTAGAACTAGTTTCTCTTTTATAAGGGTAATTTATATAATTTATTGTCTTCTAAATAAATAAACAAATAACTAGCCATATATATATTATATATTATATATTATTATTATTTATTATTACAGTATATATAATATATAATTGAAGTGCCTCTGGATCTAGCAATATCTGGTTTGACAGGAAATGTATATATTTTTTATGAAACTTTATGTTTTTGGTGTTTTTTATCAAAAGTCCATATTGACTTCCATTTGATATTTGTAAATATGCAAATGTTTGTGCAGGAGTTGTTGACCCCTGAGTGCAAAAGAATAGCCAAACACCTGAAAACGTCATTATAATCACAGCAACATACAACAATGTTTCTGTTTACATGTTATGGATTTACTTTTCCAAATAAAAACAATCTTGGGGGGGGGAGAAAATGCATCCCCTAAATAGACATTTCGGTTGGGATCAGTAATATTTACAGTCTATGGTTGGGATGTGTTCCTGTGACGTCGACATCGTATTCTCGCGATGTTTCAGTACCGCTACAACCAGACCGAGAAGATGAGCAATGGCAATAGAAAACAAACCTGGGGACGAATTTGACACCGTTTTTGGTCAAAGCGACTCATTGGAGCTTTCTTCACACCACGACTATGACACAGCACAGGCTCGGATCTTCAAGATCATCGTCATAGGTGATTCAAATGTGGGAAAGACGTGTTTGACTTACAGATTCTGCGGTGGTACCTTCCTGAAGAACCCAGAGGCAACCATCGGGGTCGATTTCAGGGAGAGGACGCTGCAGCTCGATGGGGAGAATATCAAGGTGAGAGAGGGCCCTCAAAGACATACCTGCACATTCAATCCCTACAAGATTCACAGAGATTCCCTGACCTACTGAGCATCACTCGACCTAAAGACTGACCTGGAGCATGTTTACAGACATTCAAAGGATGTGAATGGGGCCTGCCTCCTTAGAATGAACAGATGGGCTTCATGTCGTTTCATCTTCTATTAAGATAGACTTTGACTTGACTGTAAAAAAAAAACCTTAAAAAGAAACACATCTACATCTGGACTTATGTAAACATTGTATTTGTATCACTCTGTCAGTAGGATTTTCCTCCTTTCTAGGGTTCTGCAGCCAGAGTTGAGACTGATGTCAGATTCAGATTTGTTGCAAAGTAATTTTTAACATTAGAAAGAAAGTGCATTGGCCCGATAGTGCTTATGATAAAACTATGAAAGAAAAAATGAGCAGAAAATAAACAGAAATATTCATGAGATAGAATCCATTTTTTTCTGAATTAGATCTATTAAGATTTACTTTATTGATCCCCACGAGGGGATATTCTGTTTTTACACTCTGTAAGTCATGCAACACACACATGCACAAACAGGATCCTACGGACATGCTCGAGGACATGCAGGCGCTCTTGAGCTGGTGGTGGGTAGGGAGTGTGGTGCCTTGCTGAAGGGCAGCGCTCGGGAAGCAATCTCACACCTCTCCAGCTACCAGACCAACTTCCATATTTGGTCCGCGCCGGGACTTGAACCGGCGACCCTCCGGTTCCCAACCCAGGTCCCTACAGACTGAGTCGCCCCTATTAAGTAAATATTGGGGGTAAAGGGGGTTGGTGAAAAGCTCTGCAGTTGTTCTATTGATTGACCAGAGAGAGATTGTTACTGTCCTTATTGGGATTGGCTGAAAATAAAAAAAAATACATGACTCTATTATTTTTCATTCTAAATAACTGAAGTTTCTCTTTCTGCTGTCAGCTGCAGATCTGGGATACGGCGGGTCAGGAGCGTTTCAGGAAGAGCATGGTGGAGCACTACTACCGCAGCGTCCATGCTGTCATCTTCGTGTACGACGTGACCAGCCTCTCCTCCTTTGAGAGCATCCCCGAGTGGATAGAGGAGTGCGCTCGACACTGCGTGGGCCCCCTGGTGCCTCGCATCATGGTGGGCAACAAGTGCGATCTGAGGGACCGCCGGGAGGTCCCCACGTCGACCGCACAGTGCTTCGCCGACAGCTACAACTTTCCACTGTTTGAGACCTCAGCAAAGGAGCCGGCAGAGAAGGAACATGTAGACGCCATCTTTCTGACTTTGGCTTATAGACTGAAGAGCCACAAACCCCTGAGACTGAAGCAGCCGAGTGAGAGTAGCATCAGGCAGATGTGGGATCAGAGGGAGCAGGAGTCAGGAATTTGTCAGTGCTGAAGTCACCTGCAAGTGTTATGAAGGTCAGCTAATCCTTCAGGAACAATGATGCTGCAGAGGAAATCATTTTCTCCCCCCCCTAAAGCTGAGACTAAATGCAGAAACTTCATGTTGTCTTACACTATGGACATTGAAACTATTGGCCTATAAGTTTGCACAATATTAAATCAATATTTATGTGAGGTGCATGAATGGTTGTGGAGGTATACCAATCATTTTTAGCTCAAATTGCACATGAAATCAAAAAGCATTGCAGGACACACTCTAGTATACAGACAATATATATGCATATCAAATGTCCTGTAGCACCACAACTAATAGTATTCAATGCATTCAGTGAGTTTTAACGGACAGAGGTTTCATTGATTTAAAGAGTACCAACAATGAAAATATCAACTGTGAAGAAAACTGTGTTATCAAGAAATGTCTTAAAAATTGTATTTTGGTTCTTAAAACAATTGATTGCAGCATGAGTTATGATGCTGTTACTGAATGCTGTGAATTTCTTTAATAGAAATATGAACAATAAACAAGTTCTGTGTCGGCTCGTTGGACTGCATATTGATTTTGCACCGAGCTTATTAATCACAAAATGTAGCTGTCTTTTTGGAGACGAAGCAAATGAACACAAGTCACTTGAAAAGCATAAGTGGAAACACGCTCAGCTGTCTTAATGCAGGAAGGTGGGGCTGATACTTTTGTTGCACGTGTACGATAATGCAAACTTTATCCAAAGGTATGAAGAAATGTTAAAATAAGCTGCAAACCCATAAAGGTGGTTGTATCTGTTCAACTTCTGTTTCCTGTTACTGTTCGTCGATGTCATTCAATAAAGCTTAGCATCACACCCTGCCGTGTTGGTTTGTCTGTTTTTTTTTCCTTTAGAAAAATTCAAAGTTTTACTTTTGTTCATACGTTTTATCACACAACACTTTGGGTCAAAATTGGCAAGCAATACAATTACATCTGAAGGTGTATTTTAATTTTAACAGAAGATGCATCAATGGCATATTGCCAATTTGTCTCCAAATATTTTGTGTATCTACCATTATGTGATTTCACTTTTTATTTTATATCTTTATTAATCACAGTTAAATACTTATATGATTAAGATCAAATGTATAGGCCTATAGAAACATGAGAATGTGAAGCTACCTGGATTATGATTTAAACAATAAACTAAATCTGCAGAGATTCCTGTGCAGATTAATTGAAAGCTGTTAAATTGACCTTGTGATGAGATGTTTGCTCAGCTTCCCCCCCCCTACTCTTTTTATTCTTCACCCTAGTTTGAAATGTTTTACTGGGTTTTAGCGACGACCAGTGGTAAACTGTTACGAGATGATGAGTTTGCGAAACCCTGTAAACTAGCAACTCCTGTAGTTTAAATCGTTTGTTGTTTGCCAATTGTTAACAAATAAAAAATCTAATTATAATTACAAAACGGCATCAGAACATACACTGCACACAAAAAAAAACAACATTTTATAATCACTCTTTAGGTATGTCATCTTTCCAACAAGTCTGTCAGGCGGTCACTCAGTGTGTTGTCATATTTACCAGATCTCCGTGAATGCAGCACCGGCGTCTGCATTCTTCACGCAGCGTCTCTCTGCGTCCATGGTAACACTTCCCTTAACACTGGACCTCTGATTCAAAAAAGACAAACAAGTGCTTTTCATGCAGGTAAGAACATTATTTACACACGTTAACGCAAATTAAAGAATGTATGTTAGATTATCGTGCGCTGAGTTTTTAGCTTACGCGGATATCTAACATGTGCCCGGAGGAATTAGTACGTTTTGTTATTGCCAGAGGACTCGTTTGTTGTCTTGTCGGTGGCCTAGCAGCGAGCTAACGAAGCTAACGTCTGCAAGATGGGAGGGTGGAGTACCGAGAAAAGAAGCCGAATTGAACGCTGGATTTGCTCTCTCTTGGTTTTATTGTCTGATTAGTAACTGACTTGTTGTGAGTAACTCTTACATTGATTTACAATGTGGTGTTATTGACCTAGTTTGAGACGCACTAACAAACGTGTGTCACTGTACCAGGTCTAAGTCCAAAGCAATTGGCCCCAAAGAGATCAATAAAGTTGTTCGAATTGAAAAGAAAAAAAACAATCATAGCTGCATTTCAAAGTTTTGTATTTTTCTCTTCTTATTACAGATTTTGTTTCCCCTCAACTGTTTTTAGGTTCTTGTTTAAATTGCACATATATATATATATATATATTGTTTTTATCCCTGCACAGGTTATGTACATTTCTTGTATAAGTCTATTTTTTTAATTGCACAGTTTAAGTTTGATTCATCTAGGGCATGGGGTGGGCAACTGGCGGCCCGGGGGCCACATGCGGCCCTCGTCAACCCCTCAATGTGGCCCCTCAGGTCAATTTTTATATATCAAAACATGAAGAAAACGTGACAAAATCTGCCATGAAATCATGAAAACCAGAAATATTTCCATAATAATATTTGATCACTTCCATATGTTGAGTTAAATTTGAGACATAATTGATTGTAATCATTTATGTATTCTACAATTTGGCCCTCTGGCAGTGAGAATGAAATGAATGTGGCCCTTGCTGTGACCTAAGTTGCCCATCCCTGATCTAGGGGTATTCTTTCAATCTTTCTTTTGGGTTAATATACATGTATGGGGGGGGGTGGTTTAATTTGTAACAAATGTTTCATGTCATGTACACCTTTGTAACCTGCTACTGGATGCTTGAATTTCCCTCGGGATCAATAAAGTATCTATCTATCTATCTATCTATCTATCTATCTTATCACTCAGCTTCTTTTCAGCATGAATTTGGCAGACATATGTGACAACGCCAAGAAGGGTCGTGAGTATGCACTGCTGGGGAACTATGACTCCTCCATCGTGTACTACCAGGGTGTCATTCAACAGATCCACAAGCACTGCCAGTCCCTCAGAGACCCTGCACTTAAGGTCAAATGGCAACAGGTTAGTTTCTGAACCCTAAAAGTCCCTTTGATATTTACACAAATATTATCACAGGCTGCTGTGTTTGAAGCTAAGCACAGAATGCATTCGTTAACCATACTGTATAAAACACTTTTATTAAATGCGACTACTGTTAATATTCTCCCCTTCTCAATTCCCTTCTTTATTTATTTTTTGTTATAAAATACAACAATCTTCATATTTGATTTATTAGTGCGACCCCTTGTCCATCCTACCCCACCTCACTTCAAATGTAGAGTGTCAAGGTTTCCATTAAAATACAACAGTGGAATTACAAAAGCATATATATGGAAAATAAAGTTGACATGGAAAACTCAAGATAAAGGGAACAAGTAAAACGATAAATAAACTGATAACATATTTGATTTAGAATAAAAGATGTGTTTAAATTGTCATCTATTTATTTTTTATGAAACATTTCTTGTCTTGTCTGGTTGGTTTTTGGTATCTTCTTTTCACGTCATTCTTTTTTTGGTTACATTTGTTAGTATGTATTTTATTTTTTGTTGATTAATGATGTAGTATTTCATATTTATTATCAATTGACTGTAAGCCAGATATCCCTTCTGCATGTACAGCTGTATTTTCAGGATAATGTTCTGCATTGCAATGCTTAAAATTCATAACTCTTCCTCCTTCTGTGTGTGACCAGGTCAGGCAGGAGCTGACTGAAGAGTATGAGCAGGTGAAAGGCATCATGGGAACACTGGACAGCTTTAAGTCCGAGAAGCCAGTGGACTTTTTGGCCCCTCAATATGATGAGAGACCTGAGGATCCAGCAGTGTGGCCCCCTCCCACGCCTGCAGAACACAGGTGACTGTGACACAGAGTAAAAACTCTTCTTGAACAATCTTTGGATTTCCTTTTTAACGCTTTAAAAGCAGAAAAAAACTATTTATGAGTGAATACAAAAACTGACAATAGCATCGGTTTTTAAAAGTTGGTGTTGGTAAAGCTGACCCGTAAAAAAAAACTGGGGTACATTTGAATGGCAAAACTTAGAATACCAAAGAGGATTTCATACACCCTCTGCCAAAACCCCATAAGTTTAGGACACAGGGTAGTGGACTGCAAAACTGTTCAGTCACCTGATCCACCTTAAAAACAAAGGGTTGATATTTAGTATTTGTGCAGTTTATTTAGGCTGATATAAAGCATGCATATGAGGTTTCATATTTGAACTGAAGCCTAGTTTGTATGCTCCATGCAGACTAAACAAAACACCCTTTTTTTTCTTTACCTACTGTCAGAGGAGACTAATACGGTTGCTGGCAAAAACAATTTGACAGCAGTAAGGTTGCAACCGTTCCCCAGCGATGAGTGCTACTGATTTCTATATTTCATGTAACATGTAAAAAAAAAAAGTCAAATCAAGCTATAAGGACATTTGAAAATTTGAACCCCACTGATTGAGGATCATTTAAATCAATCTGAGGGGCACGTGCACATCCATTAATGCTATTATATTTTTAAAAATATGCCCCGAAGGGACACTGGTTTGGCTCAGTTGGCAGAGCAAGCACCACATATCCAGATGATACAGTCCTTGTTGCACTTGTCGCTGGTTTGACTTGCGATCAGCAACCGTTAAGTGTATGTAATTCCCCTACTTTCTCTTCCTCTACATTTCCTCTCCCTCTTCAGTTTTCAGTTATACATTAAGGCAAAAGCCCCAAAAATCATCTTTAAAAAAAGAATGCGCCTTGAAAGCAGAAAATATGCATGTGGCATTTCTGTTGGTATTCTAGGTCAAAGAAAAGCTCCTTGAACACGACTGCAGTGTGTGTGGGTTTTTGATATTTGCACTTTAGTGGAGTTTTGTGACTTTACTGGCTCCCCGTGTCCTACCTAACTTTCTGACAGAACAGATGGTTACTGATATTACTTACTCTACCAGTGTACATTTCTATTTGTGATAATCTCTACCACCTCATTGATTATTTATTTAATTATCTGCTCATTAAAGTCGGCATGTGAAGCTTTACTTCAACAAAGAAATGCCAGAGCTTCTTGTGAATGCTACTTTGTGGAGACGGCGCGCTAGTTTTTTGTTATTGAAAAAATACCTTGTGTTTCTGTCTGCAGCTGCTTCCTACTATTACTTGTTTCATGTCTCACTCGTGTGTGTTCCTGTAGGAATCCTGTTGCAGTGAAGCGACCCAACAGTGCAGTAAAGCAGAGGAAGGAGTCCCCTGGTCTGCCGCGTCGAGGGGCAGGCCCTGGAGGCCGTGGCCAGGTCAACACTAAACAAGACCGGCCGGGTTACAGGGAGGCAAGAGGTCCAAAAGCCAAGGATGATAAGGTTAGACAACAGCAGCTGATATTAGCCGGAGCAGATGGATAGATGAAGATCTTAAGTCTGTATTGAATACCCACATACACGTTTGCCTTGTTGTTGTTTTTCTAGCAGGGAAAGAAAGGGGTCGGAGAAACTTCAGGGGATGTAGAGCAGAAGAAGTTTGATGGTACGGGACATGACAGTGACCTGGTGGACTCGCTGGAGAGAGATATTGTGTCCCGTAACCCTAACATACACTGGTATGGTAGCATTCACTGTTTCTTCCATCCTTGTGCATGTGTTTTACACCCAGGGGATAATTTCTTTTTTAATGTTATCACTGCTGACTGAGTTGTCTGGATGAACTTTAGGGATGACATCGCTGATCTGGAGGATGCAAAGAAGCTGCTGAGAGAAGCTGTGGTTTTGCCCATGTGGATGCCTGACTTCTTTAAGGGCATACGTCGCCCCTGGAAGGTATGTGCTCTAGACTTTTAGACTTTAGACTTTATTGTCCCCGAGGGGAAATTCTTTTTCACAGCACCGTTACTGTCCAACAGACAAGTCCCACCAAAGAACATTTATACACAAAAAAAACAGAGAATAACACAAACAAACAGGGTTAGACAACAGCAAGAGTTCCCATTTCTGGCCTGTTCAGCGAGGCCTTTTGTTCAGGACCGTTATTACAGCGGGGATCAGGCTCCTCCCGAGGCGAGCCTTTCTGCACCTCAGTGCTCTATACCTCCGTCCTGAGGGAAGTGGGGCGAGGTGAGTGTTCAGTGGGTGTGTCATGTCCTGTTCTATTGAGGTTGCAATGCGCGTGATGGCCCTGTTATTGAGTTCTGTTAGGTTGGGTGTGGGGAGACCGATTATTCTGGCAGCTGTGGTTGTGATGCGTGTGAGTTTGGCTTTGTTTTTTTTTACAGATAACATGTTGAAGAAGCAGGTGGAACAGTACAAGAGTACTTATATACTCTTAGCTTCCTTTTAGTGTTCTTTCAAAAAAATTACAGAAAATCAATAAAGACGATGTGTTTCAGCAGCACACATTGTACTGCTCAGGGTACAACTCAAGATGGATTTTGAAGTTGCTTAGCAGCTGACCTTTCAACAGTCAGCCATTATGCCTCACAGTGAAACATAGTAACACGCCCACTGTCTTCTGCAGCTGTTGCAAAGTGTAATCTAAAGTCAACACCAACATCTATTTTGAAAATAGTTAGTTTCACAATAAAGTTTGTTTGCAACTTGGTTAAATTGTTTTTTTTGTCAGGGAGCAACTTTTCACAAATTGGGATAAAAAGACACTACTACTACAATAAGTGAGAAAACTCAAGAGGCCTATTGTGTCGCCCTGCTAGCCAAGTGCTTATATTATCAGTTTTCCAATGAATGCAAAATCACAAAAGCTATTCTTTGTTCTTAGAAACTGAACCTAACTTAGACTGTTTAAGTAAAATGTAAAGAGTAAATTTGCTTTACTGATCCTTCATGGACCACCTCTGGGGCCTTTACTTATTTGTAAGAAAGCTCTCAAATACTTTCTTCTTCAATTTACACGTCGGAAAAGGAGTGGGAAGAAGTATATCAGTATAAACGTATTGAATCCCACCCCTCCTCCAATTATGAAGAAGTAATGAAAATATGAAGAAAAGAAAAAACATTGGAACTGTCAGTCGGTTAAATTGTTCTTTTAAGCATCAGTATCAGCCCGGTTTTTCTCAACCAGTTCATCTCTAATGACAACAGTGAATCATGAATGAC